ATGAAAAGTAGGAATTCATAATTTCAGAGCCTAGTCTGGAGAAAACACCTGTTGGTCTGGTATGCTGACCCTTCTCTGCTGACACAGGTTGGACCCCAAACCTGGCCAGGTGTCAGAGCAGCAGCACGTAAGAGTTGTGGGGCCTCACTCCCCAGGGAGGTTTGTGTATCATTCCCCACTCAATCAGAAAAGCTATGCTTTTTGCTCCTCCCAACCTGCTGAGAGAAAGGGCAATAATTTGCTTGCTTTTTCGTTCTTATTCTCTTTTCCTTTTTTTTTTTTCTGAGGTGATGGGATTGAACCCAGGGCCTCACACATTCTAGGCAAGTACTCTGCCATTGATTTACATCCTCAGTCCTGCTTTGTTTCTTAAAGAGGTCTATGATGCAAAACTTAAAAAAAAAAAAAAAAAACCCAAGTGAGTGGGGTGGGGAGTAATGCAGACTAGTAAAGCTGTCAGCTAAGAAGATGGGGAAAGGCAGAGACCACAACTGTCTCTCTCAGCTCGAAGTGCTTGGCACAGAGTCTGGCACTCAGTAAATAGCTGTTGAATGATGGCATATTCTCACAGTTGTATGAAGTAGGTATTGTCTAGCTCATTTTACAGAGATGAGAAAACCAAAGCTCAGAGAGGTTGAATAACTTGCCTTTAGTCGCACAGCTTAGAATGTGGCAGAGCTATGATTTTAGATCTGTTTAACCATCATTCACATTGTCTTACTAGGCTGAAACAGGGCATGTTAGGGTATATTTATCTTCCTACTCTTTCTTTTGAAGTCACTCTCAATTCTATATTCGTTTGGGTTTGTTTCACATTTTTATTTTGATATAATTTCAGAGTTACAAAGACTTAGAAGGGTTTAAGCAATTTTCAGACCCCTTACTCAGATGTGTAAGGGTCTCTTCTTGTAAAGCCTGATTTGGGAGCCTTTGGGAGTGGGTCATGCTGCAGGATCCCTGTGTATCTGTAAGGCAGGGTGAGTCCCCCTGAGAAGTTCACTGGGGAAAAAACAAGCAGCACTGTGACCCCACCTAGGACCTGAGGCTAACCAAGAGCAGCTCTTGAGGGCTGGCTTGCTGAAATAGCAGGGACGAGTGCAGGGTCAGAATTTGGCATGGAAGAACTCTTCCCGTGGATCTACACAAAGCTGGTTTGTAACCTGCCCAGCAGACACTCAGGCGTGGCATCAGCCCCTCCTCAACTGCCAAGAGCAATAGTACCAGATTATTCACAGACTGCAGCGCCCACACCACTTCCTCCCCGGTCCTCATGGTAGAAGGGTTGTGTTTTCTATGCCACGCCTGCCACACCACAGCCTAGCCCTTTGCACCTCCCTGCCCGACTAGGTTGCACTTTCTTCTCTGATCCTGCCTGGGAATGCAGGAGAATGTGGGTCTTAGGAAGGAGGAGGAGAATTCTTATTTAGAGAAGCAGAAGAGTGTGTGTCACTTATCTGGAAATTTTACAATTCAGTTTGGATGCTAACGGAAACCAACGTCAGTGGCTCCAAGGCTTGAGCTTCTGACATCTCTCCTGCTGCCACAGTCCTCCACCCACAAAACTGGTGCTCAGTAATCATTGTTGAAGCCCTTGCCTTGGCATTATTTGTTCACACTCAACCTGTGCTAGGCAGACACAGTAAGCACCAGAAGGTGGGTGGTGCCCCGTGCTCAGGCAAGTGCCTGGCACACAGCAGAGGCCCAGCAGATGTTTGCTCAATGCACGGTTCTGGCATATGGTTGTTCCAGGAGTTGACCTAAAAACAGCTCAGCAGCCCTTTGGGCTTGCATTTTCTTTCTGACATGTACTTTCCAGTCAATCTTTTAATAATGCAACATTTAGTCTGGAAGGCATCTTGGAGATCCTTGGTCCAGCTCTTTTCTGTTGCTGCTCCCTGCATTTTCCTTGGTTTTTAATCTCTGAGAAGGAGAGATAATTGTTATGAAAGAGTGCTCAGTTATTTAGACGTGGGTGATCCCAGGGAAATTGCTCCTTCCAGACTGGCTTGCTCTTTTGATCTTCCTCAAACTTCTGGGACTGCTGCCTTTGGCCTGCTGACGTGGGGTGACCTAGGGATTGGTGTGTTGCCCACTATCACCAGCAAAACCTGCAGTTAAGAATTGACCGGTTCTTCTTAACCTCTCTCTGCTTTTAATCACTCCCTTCACTCCTCTTTCCCCTCTTCCTCCTTACTCAGAGTCCCCCCCCTCCCACCGGCATGCACATATATTATTGCGTATATTCAGTTAGCCATGGTTGTTATTGGTGAACCTTGGGTTTCCTTGATTTCCTACTTAGGACTGTTTTGCCTCCTTGGTCTTGCCAGTGAAAACAGCATCACATCTTTGCATTCAAGTGCTGTTGGGCCAAGACACACCTTAGAAGTGATCTACTCTGGTCCTGTCACTTGGGGAGAAATGAGGCAACAGAAAGGTTAGTAAGCCTAGAGCCCAGGTTAGTTGATGAGAGACTAGGGACCAGAGGCTGGAAAGGTGTTTTCCACCGCACCCCCTGATGCTTGTCGCATCCCCACACCCCCGTTGGACGGACAGACACACAGGGAATCAAACCCAGGGTTTGCATATGCTAGGCAATCACTCTACTTGTGAGCTACATCTACCCAGCCCTTGTGTTTTTGAAACAGGGTCTTGCTGTGTAACCCACGTTGGCCTAGGACTCATGATCCTCCTGCCTATGACCTGAGTGCTGGACTTGCAGGTGTGCACCTCTCACTATACGATGACTGGCTGTACATCTCTTATCATGTACTTTTTAGTATAGTGTTCCCTCTGTATCTGTGCTACCCATATCTGTGAATTCAGCCAATTGGTTGCATGAGTACTGAACAGGTATAGACTTTTTTGTTATTATTACCTAAACAATATAGTATGAGAACTTTTACACAGCATTTACACTGTATCGGGTACTGTAAGTAATCTAGGGTGATTTAAAGTGTACATGAGGCCATGCGTGGGTTACATGCACGTACTATGCCACCTTGTACGAGAGACTTGACCATCCGAGGATTTGGGTAGCTGTAGGAGGCGGGGTTCCTGGGACTGATACCCTGCAGATCCTGAGGAGCCACTGTACATGCCTTGAAGAGTCTTTGAACAGCTAACCCTTAGGGATGAATGTAGAGGTGAAGGCCACCTCATTTTCTTCTTAGCTGTGGCCAGTAGCTGGCTGATTATAGATCAGAAAGAGCAGAGCAAGCAGAGAAGCAGTATGTGTTTTAACTTCCTTGGAAATAGTCACTGGAGGTTTTGAAAAGTTACTTTAAGGGCTGGGGATGTGGTTCATTGGTGGCACACTTGGCTAACATGTGTAAGGCCCTGGGTTCAATCCCTAAGCACCACAAAGAAAAGAAGTTATTCACAGATTTCCCTCCATCCCCTAACTAGTAACAGCAAAAAGAAGATTGCTTTGGGATTGTTACATTGGCAGAGGGAATGTTCCCAAAGAGCTTTGAAGCCTGTCTTAGAAGCTAGGGAAGGAGCATGTTATCTGTGCTGGTATTTCTCCAGCACTACCAGATAGACCAGTGCTGATGAAAAACGCTGAGATAATTTATTATCAGCACACCCCTCTTAAGGCCTAAACTCAAAAGACCTTGAGACTCTAGTGGCTCAAGGGCCATTTTATACTCTATATGGCATTCCTGCAAGTTCCGTAGTGGCCATTCCTTGTGTATTTATAACATGAGCTCCACAGTGAGGTGATGGGAACAAACGCTTGCTTGGAGAATGTCCAGCTGTGAGGGTGGTGTGCATATTTTCAGATTTTAGTTGCTCTCCCTCTCTTGGTCTTGAAGGTTTTTTAGGACCTTCATCTTTTCTGAGTTGCTACCTAAGCTTGAATCTAGTTAGACAGCCTTCTTTGTTTTCAAATGTTTGCCCACAGCAGATTCCTAGAGACCTATGGACCTGGACTAAGATTGAGCTTGGTCTGATGTCTAGTGGGGTTGTCCTTGGGATGCTAATTAGCTCAGTTTTGGGAGGATTATCCCTTGTGGAGTTACTTAGAGGTCTTAGTAAAATGGTTAGAGAAAGTGAGGGTTGGTGGGGTTAGAATCAGGCCTCAGGTGAGTTTCATCACTTCCCCCAAATAGGTTTCTTCTGGGAGGTCAGTGTCCTTCTTAGAACTTGATCTCATCTGGAATGTTAATGCCTACTTTGTTGGGTTGTTGGGAGAATTAAATGTGATACAAGTTAGGTGCTTGTTATTCTTGACTTTGCCAGGGTCATAAAACACACACTTTTGCCATTTATGATCTAATATTAGCTACTGCCATGCACTGGTCAAGTTCTTTAGACAATAAATTATTAATGAATTCTTCATGATGGTGAGAGAATTTAGCCAATATTTCCCTCCTCCAGAGTGTAGGGAGACAAAGTGGAATGTACAGTGGAATAGAGGGGAAGTAGGAGTAGGTGGGTAGACAAAGTCTGGCTACTTGTATTTTGGCCTGGGGATTTGTTTGGAAGATAAATTACCTTCTGGTGGCTGTGTAATTTGACAGGTCGGTGATTAGGGCTGGCTAATAAATACTTATTAAGCACTGTACCTTTTGCTGTTAAATACTGTGAAGCTATAGAGACCATGACATTAACAGAATGTGCTAAAGAGAAGCTTTTGGTATTTGTCTTTTAAATATTGTTCAAAGTAGAAATGCCCAGTCTATCAGGAACTCTGGGGGAAGAATGTATTTGCAGAAGGGAAATTTACCAACGAGAATGAGAGCTTTACAAAATAATACTCAATGAAGTGTTGGTTCTAGCTGCTGACAGATTAGGTCTATTCGATCTATCCCCTAGAAATACTATAGTCTGAGGAGTAAGAACCACAGATGAGGCATGAGCCTGGAGAGTTTGGAGTGTGTGTGTCTCAAGTAAAGTGCACCTGGTTGCTGTCACGTGGAATGTAAAGTAAAATCCAGGCTTATCAGCATTTTTTTCCTGTGATTGCTCATGTGTGTCATGGCTTGTTTTTCTTCTAGGATGTGGAGAAAGAGAAGGAAACTCACAATTACCTCAGTAAAGAGGAAATCAAAGAGAAAGTTCATAAGTACAATTTAGCCGTCACAGACAAGTTAAAGATGACCTTGGTGAGTACCCCTAATACTGTCTAAGTGATACCTGCCAAAAGACAAATGGAAGTTGTTAGTACTGTAATCTGTATAATTTTAAATATTTGAATAATAGACGTTTGGTGGTCAAAATACGAAGAATAGGAAAGTAGGTTATGTCTGCTGCTTTCAAGTTAAGTCTGTATTTTGAAGTTGCTTTGTCTGAAAATCAGTGATCAGGTTAACCTTATAAAAGCAAAATGTGCAAGGTGTTGGGGTACACACCTAGAATCCCAGCTTCTCAGGAGGAGGAGATGGAACGTTCTTGGTTCAAATCCAGCTAGTTAGCTAAGATACCATCTCAACAAATAAGCCAGGCTTGGTGGTTCTTACCTATTACCTCAAGTAGGAAGTATAGGTAGGACAATTACATCTGAGGCTAGCCCCGAGCAAAATGAAACTCAGTCTAAAAAATAACTAAAGCAAGTGGCTCAAGTGGTGAGGCCCTGAGTTCAAACCCAGTACTGCAAAAGAAAGAAAAAAAAAAAAGTGAGACACTTTAAAATTTTATATTAAAGGATTTTGTGTGATTCCGCAAGGATATTTAGTATTGTTTAACCTATAGATGGTAACTCAGATTCTAACAAGACTGGATTGGAATACAGTTGAACCAAGATTTTCCTTCACGAGTGTCAATGTAAGATGAAGTACGCAGTATTCAGCTTCCTCCATGGAATTGTTAAAGCCTGTACCATACTGTTTGAAGCACAGTGGGGAGTCGGGGCATGTTGGAGGAGGGTCTGGGCTTAGTGACAGTGAAACAAGAGCTGACAGCAAAGCTGTAGGAGTCATGTTCCTCTAAAATGAACTGCCATCTTCACTGAGCCATCCATGTGGTGACCTCCACACAGCTCCTGTCATTTCTTGATGCCTCTCAGCCTATTACCTGTGAACTGAGAGAGTTTGATAAAAGGCAGGGTGACTGGTTTATAACAGGCCAGAATGAATTTTGTGACTCTTGGGGAGGAGCTTTTAGGTATAAACCACTGTGATAAAGGATCCCTCTTCCATGGCTTTCTGCCATGTGCAGGGGACACATGATCCCAAGAGTGTCCAGAATAATGATGCATACTCTTTTTTAAAACAGTGATACTTCTTTTCCAAACACATTTTTCATCAAGGGAGAAAAATTCTACTTTCCATGGCTTTTTAAAATTTCTTTCCCCATGGGGATTAAAATAGTTGCAAGTTTCTGTATTTTTCAAACATAAAAATTTTTAAGTGAATTTTTATGTGTTGTATACTACTTTTATACAAAACTGAGTAAGGGAATTAGTATTGTAAATTGCTGTATGGAAGGGAGAAAAGTAGCAGACTATGTAGAAAGTTTTTAATGTTCTATTTTAACCATGATATTTATATATAACATCTGATGATTTGTTTTAATAAGACGTGGCAGTGATTTTTTTCTAAATAAAGTGAAGACAAGACCATGATTACTGATTTGGCAACTGAGAAATAGTAATTGTGTCATAAATTAAGGCAAGTGTTTATAGTATCTGCAGAACACAGAGTAGCTTGAATTTGTTTTAAAAAATGCTGCTGCTTAGGACTCCTGAAACGCAAAGTTTAAGCAGAATGGGTCATGTAGTACTTATCCTAATAGCCACTAGGAATAAAAACAGCTTGTTTTCTTTCTATGGATACATTGTTAACTTAGGTGTTTTAGGGCCCTAATTGTGAATTTCCTATTTTGTGTGATGGCTTCTCATGGGTTGGGAGTTGTTTCCTTTGAGCATTGAGCCTACACATGCTTCCTAGGCTTTAACACAGTAGGTTGTGTTTTAGCTAGCGTCTGCCCTGGATGGTAACCTCCCCAATGGGCGCAGACCTCTCATATGCAGCTTTGGAGACAGGAGCCTCCAGGCCAGTGTGTTGCAGCAGGCCACAACTGCCCTGCAGACCTCTCCTGTGGAAGTACTTGGCATGTGTTAACCTCTCTCTGAGGTCATTCCCTTGGGGCAGTCTTCAGTGAAGCTCTGCCACAAAGCTTGGGAAGAGCAAGAGGAAGAGCAGTTCGCCTTCCTATTTGGCTTTAATACTTTCCACTCCTTCCCTAAAATGCCGCTGTCCACCAGCTAAGCCTGACTTTTTCTTCCCTGTTCAGAATTCAAATGGGATTTATACTGGCTTCATTAAAGTGCAGATGGAACTCTGCAAACCTCCACAGACTTCTCCCAGCCTGGGGAAACTTGCTCCTAGTAGCAACGGCTGTGTGAACACTCTTCATATCAGTAGCACAAACACCGTCGGAGAAGTGATCGAGGCCTTGCTCAAAAAGTTTCTTGTCGCTGAGAGCCCGGCCAAGTTTGCACTTTATAAGCGTTGTCACAGGGAAGACCAAGGTACGCTGCCACGCTTAAAGTGATGATGGTCTCTGCTTCCATTTGTGTCTTTTGTCCTCATTAGCACAAGGATGACAGATGGATGTGTTTATGTCAACTTGTGTCAGAGCCTAGGGACAGATTCTCAGAAGTGTGGCATCATGGCAGGCACTTGTCTCCTGGCTGTTCATATTTCTGAGTTTAACAGTTGTGGGTTGGAGGGGCTTAGTAGCATTTATGGAAGGATTCGGTGATGTGCACAAGGAGCAGCTTTTGGCTGGGGGTGGGGCAGAATGACTGATCTTAATGCCCTTTAGAACACAGAAGGATCCTCTGTGCTTGAAGTTTCCAGTTACCATCTCACATTTGATATTCATCTGCACTTGCAGTGGCTTGGATGACCTTGAGGATGGAGAGACTTACAGATACATACAAATGCATGAATGACATTTTGATCTGGGGTCTGTCTATCTGAACTTCATGTCTATGTTCAGTGGATAGAAAGAACATTGAAATACAGCATGAAATTGAGTAAGATACTCCAGGTCAGGCAGCTGAGCGGAAATTGATTCCCATGGTGGATAATGGCCATTTAGTGATTTCCCTGTGCGCTAATTTGGAAATGATACGTGTGAGCAATAAACGAGTTTAAGCTTTCTGTAGTTTTTCTGAGTAGAGCCTAAAGCTGCCATAGAAGAAAATATACTGACCTTGAGATGGTAATGTCCTTCAGCTTCCCAGGATGAAATGCAGCTAGTTGCTGAGTGTTTGAACATTTGTTAAACACATACCGTGGGGCCAGGCCCTGCCGAATACAAAATCCCAGGTCGGGGTTCTTGGCCTCCAGAGACCACAGGCTTAGCAGCCTGGAGAAGAGGTGTGTATCATAAGGAAATCTGCTCCTACAATGCAGTTGCATCTGGAGTACCAGAATCATGTAGAGTCTCAGGGGCATCTTCATCTTGCTAGCTTCTCTGCCAGCTCACCTGGACTTCAGCCACACAATCTGAAAGTGATAGCATCCTGTTGAAACATTATCCTCACTACTGGCAAATCTTTCAACCCTATAGGCAATACCAGAACTGTGTGACTGTGTGTGTGGGGGTGTGTGTGTGGGTGTGTGTGGTGTGAAACACACAGCCGTGCTTGAAGCCAGCAGAGTTTGTATTCTGATGGCTTAGTTTGTGACTGACTGCCAGTTCTTAATGAATCTGTAGAGAGATTTCCTCCTGGAGCTTTATTCATGTTGTTTTGATGATATATTTTCATTGTTTTTAAAGGGGCTGAAGATAATTCTTTTAAGTTTTCATGCTAAAAGGAACAGAATTTATAGGGCTGGAGACATGACTCAACTGGCAGAGTACCTTCCTAGCAAAGGAAGGCCCTGAGGTCAAACTGCAGTACTGCCCCCCAAAAATAAATAAAAAACTAAAAGGAACAGAATTATTATAAGTATATTTGGAGATTAACATCCAATTAAATTTATACTTGGAAATAATTTTCTCTAGAATGAAGGTACAGGTTTTATTGAGCAGGTAGAATTGAAAAGGAATAGGCTTTGATCCTCCATGGGTTCTTGGCACTGAGATGATCAAGAAACGTGGACTATTACTATGATCTGGAGGAGGGCATTGGGACTGGTCTCAGAAATGCTGAACTTCTCTGTAACATGTTGCTTGTATCCTTACCTAGTCTACGCCTGCAAGCTGTCAGACCGGGAACATCCTCTCTACCTGCGTTTGGTAGCAGGACCCAGAACCGACACACTTAGTTTTGTTCTTCGTGAACATGAAATTGGAGAGGTAAGCGATTCCTCATTATGGTTTTAACCATGCAGAACAGCTGGCCCTGTTTTATTGCTTTAGGCTAATGTCCTGACCAGGGAGGAGGGAAGGGTTGAGGGGTGGAAAGGGAGGGAGGGAGAAAGACTTGAATTGTCAGAAATGAACCCAATGATAGCATATAGTGTTATTCTCATACAACATTATACTGGCCTGTGCTTTTCAGAGTAGCTTTTCAGGGGGAGGAAATAAACTTTTTTACTTATCCCCATTGAAAGAGCCATTTTAACTCCCCCCACCTCCAAATTATTCTAATCCCGCTGAATTTTGAAAGTTGACACTCTCCATATGTCTGCAACTAAGAAAAGTCTCTGGGCTGATTTCCTTCCAAAGGGAAATAAAAGGAAACTTGATCTCTTTACAGCGAAAGACATTTAACTTTCTAGGATCCTTTTTTTTCTCCTTTGCCCAGTCAAGCAATTAAGAAATTATGTTTGCAGATGGGTCCTTAGCTCTTTTCTCATCAGGGAAGACTGCACTGCAGCAAGTTCAGTTGAAGAGCACATTAGACCATCCTGTAGATCAAGTGTCAACTTTAAATGACACTTGAGCAGATCTCAAGCTCTGGGTCTTCCTGGAAATGGTGTGGACTGTCCCTGCAGGACATTTCCCGATGCAGCGACAACAGGATTTCTAGGTTAGATGGTAGCAGACCAGACTCTGCTTCCCACTGTTAGATTTGGGTGGATCCCTGTAAAAATCTGTAAAGGAGGACTAATACTTTAAAAGGCGGTTTTGAGTCACAAATTAAAATGTATGTAAACATGGTAAATAGTGTGTTTACATGCAAGTGCAAATTAGAATTGATTCAGGGAGTTTTAGGAAGACAGTAATTTAAGAAGTTTTGAAGATGCTTTTGATTCTGTTTTTTTAAGGCTTTTAAAGACACTCAGACTCTCATTTTAGGGAAAAAGCTGGATGCTAGCTGGACATATTAGCATAGTTTTGTCAACATTTTCTTGTTTTTGGGCTTTTTATATTTTACCTAGGTTAGTGCAGCTGGAGCAAATTATGTCTTAAGATCAACAGTGTCTTAATGTGTCAGTGTGCTTTGTTGGACCTCGGCATAGTGTTCTTGTTTCTCACTTATTTAAGGAAACTGAACTGAGGCAAGAAACTTTCCACAGCTGTTAGGGGTGGGAGGGAGAAAATATTTTATAATGTCTTTCTTTGGAAGACCTTATCATACGTGAAAAGTGAAAGGATAAATTTTAAAAAAAATGAGCAGAATATTTTACTGTAGGAAGTTGTGCTCTTATTTTTGTTGACAGCCAGTTTCAGCTCACCCTCAAGGAAGCCTTCTGTCTTTTGACCTACTTGGTGGTTTGCCTCACAGTCCTTTCTGTATTTTCATATTGAGTGGTATAGAGTCTTACTTCATTAGACAGTGTTCTGCCCTTGGCAGTGATTCTCAGCCAGGACACGATTCCTTTGGGGATCAGAGGACATGTTCAAAAAAGTCTCCCAGATAATGCCAGGTATTCTGCTGGACATTCACTGCTTTAGTGTAATAAAAGTTCTAAAAAATACATTTTGTACCTGCTAAGTACCAGCTGTGTTGGGAAACAGACCTCAGAGCCTCAAGGGCAAGGGACAAGCCCCAAATAGTGAAAAGTATGCAGCTACAGTGTAGGTAAGGTGTGTGTGAGGTAGGTAGGCAGTAAGCAAATAGATACAATCACTTTAACGTCTTCATTATGACTGGGTGTGATGGTGCACCAGCATTGCCTGTAATCCTAGCACATGGGACACTAAGACAAGGGGGTTGCAAATTTGAGGCCAGCCTGGGCTACCTAACAAGACCCTGTCTTAGAAAGAAAGGGAGGGAGAGAGGGGGGAGAGAGAGAGTATTACATCTGGCAAAACTATTCTTCAGAACCGAAAAAAAGAGAGACTTTTCTAGACAAACTCTGAGTTCCTTACCACTAAGACTAGATCTGTCTTAGAAATGATAAAGGTAATTTTTTTGTTTTGCTTTGTTTTGTTTTTGTGGTACTGGGGTTTGAACTCAGGACCTTGCACTTGCTAGGCAGGCAGGTAGGTAGGTACCTACTACTTGAGCTGTGCTACCCAGCCCCCTCCTTAAGATGAATGAAAAAGACAGTAAACAGCAGCATGATCACATAAGAAAGTGTGAAACTGATTGGTAAGGTAAATATGTAGACAAAATGGAGGAAGTTGGGAGAGGACAAAGGACTTTGGGGTGCCTCAAAATTGAGCCCCATGGCTTATATTGCTTTTACATAAGATAGGGACCTGTTTGTAAAGATAGATAGCATTTGGCCATCTTCATATATAGATAGGGAAGCCTTTGTGAGGAGCACAAAGGAAGGGGTAAGGAGTAAGAAATGCTTTGTGTCTTAATCAGGGGCCATTTGGTCACAACTTGCTTAAGCTGGTTTAGGGGGAAAACCATCTTGGTTCAAATCTTCTCATAGACTTAGTAGAGGGGAAGATGTCCTGGAAGCTTTTTCTTGGTGAAAGTGGCATTTATTCTGCGACCTGAAGGATGAGTAGGTGCTGGTCATGTGAAGTTGAGCAGAGGAGGTCATGTATCAACCCGCTTGGGTTGATGAGGGAGTCCCTGTGGGCAGGATGGGGCCAGAGAGGTTAGGCTCTTACCAGAAAAAGCCGACTGAATGCTTGTAAGCAGGAAGAGTTGTGCCCATGGGTATTTGGGGAGTGACTGGGGCACTTAAGAGTACAGTGAGGTAGTCAGTCAGGTGGGAGGCCAGGAGTGGGTGGTGGTAGTTAGCACCAGAGGGCAGAGAGACAGAGAAAGCCAGTGGATTGGAGAACAGTTGGGGAGGTGATGAGATTGATTGTGGGAGGAAGAAGGAAGGCAGTGACTGACTGCAAGTGAAGAGGCAGGGTGAAGAGTGTGTGCACTGGAGGTGGGATGTAGAGGTCTTCAGTCTTAGTAAGAGCCATTTTGGAGAACAGAATGGCGAGGGTGGGAAGGGAAGTGAAGAGCGGATGGAGTGAGCTTGGTGCTTCTGATAACTCACTGAACAGGACATCATATTCTGAAGTGTTGGGGTATGGGCTTGGTGATACATGCCTGTAACGCTAGCACTGGGGAAGCTGAGGCAGGAGGACCCTAAGTTTGAGGCCAGCCTGGGCCAGATCCTGTCTCAAAAATAAAAAAAAGTCAGCATTCCTTTCTTGACTTTGAGTTATACACTTGGCATTGCTGTCTTTTGTATTGTCTCACAGTGGGAAGCATTCAGCCTTCCAGAACTGCAGAATTTCCTACGTATCTTGGACAAGGAAGAAGATGAGCAGCTGCAGAACCTGAAGAGGCGTTACACAGCCTACAGACACAAGCTGGAGGAAGCCCTCAGTGAGGTGTGGAAGCCCGGCTAGCACACGAGGCTCCCTGCCTGCTGGGAAGGCACAGCTTGGGACACATGTACAAAAATGCAGTAAGCGCCTCTCTGCTCAGAGAGCTGTCTTCTTGCCCCACGATGCTAGAGTCTTCCCTTTTTCTCTCTAGATTTAGTTCCCAACACCTGGTCACGCAGCGTCCTGCACCTTACCCATCCCACGTGAGGGACTCTGCAAGCTCGTTCTGTTACAGCATGGCGGTGTTACCTCTTGCAAGCTGTGAACCTGTAATTGGCAGGAGCATTCTAGAGTGCTTGGAAGCATGGACTCTGGGTTGATTTTTTTTCCCTTATTTTCTTGTAGTTATTTTAAGTATGTGATGACAATGTTAAGCTTAAGGATGTGCAGACAAGTTTTTAAAAACTTAACAAGGAATCTCTCTGAATACTTGTCCTATGTTGAAACTACCTGTCTGTGTTTTGTTTTCTAACTGTCAGGGGGAGTCTATCTATGTGAACTGAAAGGCACAGGAATGTAGGAACCCTGGGGAATTTGGGAAGGATTTTGTAGGGGTCTGACAAAGAAAGTAAAGAGAAAGTTTGGAAGAAGGCCTGTGGGAAGGTAAGAGCTGAGGGTTGAGGCAGGTGGCCTGCCTGGTAAGTTAGTGATAGAAGATTGGGTGATAGAGGAGAAAGGTGTTTTTGCTTGTAAATGAGTTAAAAGCATTCACAGTTGAGATGTTAAAGCCAGTTTAGGATTGTTTGATTTCCTGATGGGTAGACTGTGGGGTCAGAGCCAAAGACTTACGGGAACTAAACCCAAAGAAGGGACCCATGAACTCTGCAGTCAATCAGAGAGTCAGAAGGGGAGGAATCTTACAAACCTGGATGGAGGGGCCTTTGGTGGGCCTCATGTAGCTGGATCAGACTCCTCCAAGAATCAGAACCCCCTGATTCTGCCCTCTTGAGCGGGTGGTCTTATTGGTATAGCTTCCGTGTAGACGGGGCCTGACCATTTGCTGACTCTTGTTAAGTTACATGGTCTCTCCCCGAAGATGTGTTTTCCAAGTTTTCCCTTCAGTTTACCAAGTACAGAGCTCACAGCAAACTTGTGACAATCATTCTTCTCTTTTATTCCATCCTTCCTTTTCCTTGTCCCTTGTCTTCTCATTTTTTTTTTCCTTTCCTTCCCTTTTCCTCCCTTCCCTCCCCCTATTCCTGTCCCCCTCCTTTTCTGTTAGAAGTTGAAGTCCCTTCTCACATGATAGAGAACAGGGATAAAATACCCTCTACTACCACACCCTCAGTTCTAAGGGACTTGATTGTGAGCAGAGGCCCCAAGAGAGGAGGAAGAGCCACGCCCAGCAGGCTGCACATCAGGCATTCATTATGGAAATATTTTAACACAAGTACGTGTTCCTTTCCAACCAAAGAAGTGCGTGTGCAACAGCAGCCTTCCTTCAAACAGGCGCATAACCTCATTTTCTTCAGCAATTTATCAATCTGAGGACAGGGGGAAGGGAATGCTATGGTTCTAGAGCGGCCTTGCAGTCTATTTTTAGTCTAGGTTTTTTGTTTATAAATTCCCAAGGAATTGTTCACACTCTGGTGACACCTAATGGATTCTTTTTGAAATTCCAAGGTGCTTCAGTTCTTTGCCTCTAAAGCAATTTGTGCTTTGTGTGTGTGTGTGTGTGTGTGTGTTGTACTGGGGTTTGAACTCAGGGCCTACACCTTGAGCCACTCCTCCAGCTCCCCCTTTTTCTTTTTGTGTAGAGTTTTTTTTTCAAGATAGGGTCTCGGGAACTATTTGCCCTGGCTGGCTTCGAACCGCGATCCTCCTGATCTCTGCCTCCTGAGTAACTAGGATTATAGCTGTGAGCCACTGGTGCCTGGCTGAATTGTGCCTTTTATTGTGTGTTTCCTCTTGGTGGTTCTTCTGAATTATCAGAGAATACCCATCTTGTTGGAGGCAGATTATAACATTGGTTGTGCTGTGCCACACAAGCTATTGAGACAATCAGATCTTCCTAAGCTTTTGAGGAAAGTTGGAAAAAAAAAAACAGTAGAACTAGCTATAAAATATGTATGGCACATCTTGTTTAATTTTGCATGACACTTCTTTATAGTGCATTGATGAGGTTTTAGTGACATTGTCATCTAACACTTTACCTTCATTATTCAGGGAAAGCCTTCATGACTTTTGTACTGGTTTTACTCTTCAGACTATGGCTTGTGTCTGGGTATACTGCTATCAACCACCTGGTCTTCTAATTTCTCATCCCAGTCAACTTTCAGTTTGGAAAGCCTTTGTTTCTCAAATTAAGACACTGTTAGAACCTGAAGTAGCAGCTGATGGGTATCTGTGAATTTTTTTTTTTTTTTTTTTTACTTGAAGTAGATTGTCTAAAATAGGCATCTTCATCTGTGTTTAGCCAGGACCTCACTGTCATGTGCACTACAAGTTGCAATTTGGAAAACGTCACTGTATGAAATTCTGTCAGTTCTTTGAAGACGGATGTTCTCTTCCAGACACTGGTTACTGCAGCGACATTTTCAATGTATAAAAAGAAGAAATAAGGCCCTAAAGGCCACAGATTTTTAAAGAATCATTGTAGGGTGATGAAGCTGATCTCGGCTGCACAGTCTTTGCTCTTCATGATGTGAAGGTACAGGAACGCTGTTGAATGAAGGGGGATCGCATGGGAGCATTTTGAATTGCAGAAGTAAAAAGTTATAATATTTATAATTTTGATGAGTTTTAAGTTTATTTTTATAGGAAAGATTTTTCTCTCCTAAATTGTTTCTGGAATGGCAAAATTGTTTCCATTATTAAAAATTGAAATTGTTAGTTGATCTTTGTGTGTTTTTGTTTGTTTTTGGCAGGACTGGGGTTTGAACTCAGGGCTTGGAGATTGCAAAGCAGGCGCTCTACTTGTTGAGCCAAATCTCTAGTCCATTTGGTCTGGTTATTATGGAGGTGGGTTCTCATAAACTGTAATCCTTCTGATCTCAGCCTCCCAAGCAGCAAGGATTGCAGTTGTGAGCCACCAGCGCCCAGCATGTATGTTTTTATTTATGATAATAGGCTTGATTAAAAGAAAAGTGAGTGGAACCAACTCTTTTGCAGATACATGGGAACGTGTGCCAGAATTCAACAACTTTTACAAGGGTTTTTTTGGGGGGTGGGGAACACATTGTTTTTCCAAATCTCATTTTTCTTCTCCTTATGCTCTGGGAAAAAATAACCCTAACTGCATGTCTGTCTGTATAGCACATTTATTGTGAGCTATACATACATTCAGAAGTGTAGGAAACAACAAACACTAAAAATTACTGTCAAGTGGACACTCTGTGACCATTGCTAAAATAAAACATTGCTAGTTCCTTAGACATCATCTCCCTCTGTCCCCATTCTTGTTCTGAGGTCTCCCACCCTTGAACACACCACTTAAAACATAAGGTGAGTATTTGCAAATTTTTGGGTCAACATCTTGCATGTGTGGAATGGAGAGTGTTTGGGTTCCTAGGTGGGAAATGTGGTGAAGTGTTTGTACTGCTGTGCTGCCCCTTAGAGGGGTTGGTGAGATAGTAGCTTCCCTGAGGGGGAAAGAATCAGGTACCACAGCTACTTTGTAGACTAGGGCATCCTGATAGGCTCTAGGTAGTTGTTTTTTTGTTTGTTTGTTTTTTGTTGTTGAATTATTTAGAGGAATCAAGTTTGGGAGTTCAGTCTGGGTTATAACTCAAGATGCAGGGGAGTGTTTTGGAATTTTTAACCCTTAAAGGGAGTTAGCTTCTTATCCTAGGCTTCTTTATAGAATTTGTTACCAATTGATAACTTTTAAGTAAATATTGTGTTGCAAATATATAGAATTATTGTAAGTCTATATTTTGGGTATTTTTTTGGGAGGGGGAGGCCACAATTTCTGGCTCATAACTCCCTCCCTAAGGCAAGTCATAGAAACTGTAATCTTCCCCTTCTTTACTGTCTTGAAGCTGACCCCAAAGAAATGACCTTGGGCTGTGGATGTTACTCACTGATAGAGCACTCACCTAGCAAGTGAGGCCCTGGGTTCCATCCCCAGCACCATACCAAAAAACCAAATTACCTTGTGTCTGGAAGATCACACGACTCTGACTCCACTCCCAAAGAGAATGCCCCCTACCTGGAAGAAAGGAATGCTGCAGAGAAGTCAGGACGAATCTGGACAGACAGGCTCTGCTGGGTTTCCCCACTCCATCTGTTAGCAATAGCTCAGGACCTTTTTGTCCTGTCACACGTCTACACGGCTGCCCATGCTTCAGTCATGCTTGAATAGAGACATCTCCCCCAAACCCCAAAAGGACTGGGTTCAGAGAGCTTCCAGGCAACTGGACATATGGAGGTGCCTAGAGGTTGGTATGTCTTACTCTTTTTTTTCTCTTCATTTTCATGCATCTCTTCATCTGTGTTCCTTGTAATATACTTTATAATACACCAGCAAAAAGTAGGTCCTTCCCTGAATTCTGGAAAATGTTCTAGTGAATTAGTTGCATTTGGGGAATGGGGTTGTAGGAACCCTGATTGTAGATGGTGGGTTAGAATTACAGCTAAGTTAACCTGAGGCTTCCGATTAGCATCTGATATGCAGGGGACACTCTTTGGTACTGAGCCCTCAACTTGTGGATGGAATTAGAGGATACCTTGCTGCTGTCCACTGTGGAATTGGCTGCTGGCCCTTCACATCTTTTGGGGGATCACATAAGTGGTTTGTGTTATGAGAAAATGAGTTTTAGTTGGTTTTTTCTTTATTATCATTCAGTTATATACACACCACCATTTGGGACAGTCAGATAATCCTAATAAGGTGTTTTGTTTTACTGAAAGAGGGAGGATGTTTCTTTATTATAATAACTGATGCCAACAAGGTGCTAACCATGTGCTGAATATGTACTGACTCATTGACTAGTAGGGTAGCAGGTGTTGATATACTCTCTCTCTGTGTCTCTCTTTCTCTGTCTCTTTTTGGTGAGACTGGGGTTTGAACTCAGGGCTTCATACTTGCAAAGCAGGTACTCTGCCACTTGAGCCACACCTTCAGTCCAACTAATAGGATTTTAGTTAGATCTCTGATGCAAGGCCGCTGATGAAGTACTTTTAAAAATTTTTAAATAAACGAATTCAGAAACTCCCAGCTGTTGGATGCTTCATGGTAATCCATTTCTCTTAGTAAAGAATTACCTTTGGGGCTGGGCCTGTAGCTCATTGGTAGATTGCTTGGTAGAATGAAGAGACCCTGGGTGGATCCTCATCATCACCAAACAAAATTGTTTATATGCCCATGTGTGCATCTCTTCTACAGAATCAGGAATGGAAATAGTAGAGGGAAATTTATAGCAATAAATATATTAGAAAAGATGAAAGGTCTTAACTCAATGATCATTAAGGAAAAAAAAAAAAGACTAGATAAAGTAAGCAAGCAAACAATAAAACCCAGGAAAGTCAAACCAAAGCATGCAAGAAAAGAATAAGGGAGGAAATTGATGGAATAGAAAACAATGAAAGTAAAGTTCATTTTTTGAGATCAACAGAATTGATAAACTACTAGCCAGACTGACCCCTAAATAAAGAGAAGATAGGTAAGTTGAAAAGTAAAAGGATTATGTAAATTGCCAGTATTAGGAACAGTTCTTAAGTTTCCTTAAGAATTACTGTTATTTTAGTGGGGCACTGGTGACTCATGTCTGTAATCCTAGCTATTTGGGAGACTGAGATTGGGAGGATCCAAGTTCAAGGCTAGCTTGGGCAAATAGTTTGTGAGACCCTATCTCTAAAAATAACCAGTATAAGATGGACTGGAGGTATGCTCCAGTTCAAACCCCAGTCTCATGCAAAAACAAGCAAACAATGCTGTTATTTTGCCTCTCCCCAAAAAGTGAGTTGTCTGACATAATTTGCCTAACTTCTGAAAAGCTTGTCAAATGATAATTGCTGTTACCAACTTTTTGATTCCCTGTGGGATTTATAGTTTATAATACTGTCACCCGCAGTAAGTAACTTTAATGCATCTGACCGCCAATATTCTAACTTGATAGACATTTAAGCTTACTTTCACATTAGAAACACAGTAGGGCATATACCTCCCTGCCCTCCCCCCAGGACCTAGTGCATGCTAGGTACTCAGCATAGCACTGAGTGAATGTAGTATGAGCTGTATCCTCAGCTGCAGGAATGCATTATTTTTAATGAGACTTATGATTATGTTTTTTTCCCTTTGTCACCATACAACAGTTTGGAACTAATTGTAATCATATTTGAGGAGGCCATCTATCTCATTTAATGCCCTTGTATTTTGTGAGATCTGTATTAGTGTGTCATTTCTTTTTATACATATAAATCATTTACATTAGTTTGTTCTGCTCTGTGAATGAAAAACTTGAATTCCAAGCCTCTTAATTTCATTCATTCAACAAACCTTCATAAACTACATCGTGTTGTTAGGACCTGGCTAGATTATGGAGTCACAGTCCATGGGAATCACAGTCCATGTGTACTGCAAGCTGCTAAGTGTCCCAGAGATAAAACTCAAGGTGCTGTACATGTATAACCTAGGCAATCTTGAGGAAGTGAGTTAGAACAGAAGTTAGCAGAACTTACAACTATGAAACAGCTGCATGACGAGGACTGGTTTCTGAGGTCTTTTTGGTAGCAGGTTTTATCCAGGGTCCCTCTTGCTATTTTGTTCTCTATTGTGAGAACTTCAGGGCTAAATATTTCTCCTTGGGTTAAGACTTCATCTTTGGTAAGGGTAAAATTATAATTTACAATGGTATTTGCTCTGGATCAAACCCATTTTTTGTTTCCTGTGAAGTGGAGAAGGGAACAGCTGTTTGATTGTCACAGGGCTGCTGTGAAGAGCAAAGAAGGCAGTGAATGTGAAGGAACATTGTATTCCATCAATCCTAGTATAGCATAAGGTGGTATTTTCTAAATTGTCATTTTTGCAGAAGTGTTCGGACTGCTTTATTGCTGGGCCAAGATGCTCACCTCCCATTCTGACACTAAAATTCATTTAGAACCATCCTAAGTGTCAATTTTCAAGCAGAATGTTTATTGGTTCAAAAGGTTTTTACTTGTATATTTAAAAATCGTGCAAAAATTAATTTGCATAAAAAAATGGCACTCTGCATTTTGCAGCCTGCAGGATTGGATTTTACTCTAGATTTCTCCGACCTACCACCCAGCTTCTTCCTTTTACTGAAAGGCAAATTCTTTTCCTCCCCTGCTAAGCAGACAGGAGATGCTCAACCAGTAGCTCTTGATTACCTGATGTGAAGGAGGCAGCAGTCTTTTTGTCTGCTTCTGTGGTGCAGGGGATTGAACCCAGGATCTCAGGCGTGCTAAGTCTGCTTTACCACTGAGCTGCATCCCGAACCCCAGCACAATCATTTAAACTTTGCACATTACAAAGTTAGCTAAAAGAAGTAAGGCAATGCTGTACAATGTCCAGTGCTTACTGCTGATTTACACCTCACTACAATTCTCCTGCATGCTTCTCCTTTAAATGTTTGTTTTAAAGGCTGTGAGGTTTTCTCTTGCATTTCTCTCATCAATTTAGTTACTGAATTTTTGATGTCAACCGTATGGGGTTTGTCAGACGTCGCGGAGGTAGCAGAGTGAGGTGCATGCACGAGTGGAGTCTGATCTGTGCAACAGCTACTGCCAAAAACTGTCTTGTTTTTGTTTTAAAAATTCATGCTTATAGAAGGAAATTGAGTTAAAAACAGAACACTCAAGATTCTAGGGTGGTCAGTAGACCAGAGAATCACTTAAGTCTTTTCTTTGTGCTTCCCATAAAGTCAGCCACAAATGTTCTTTCTTCCATGTAAGTTAGAACCAAAATACTCAGAGCAGCTGAAACTGAGGCTGCCCAGGCCATCTTGTCAGAGCCAGGAGACGACTGATGCTGAGTGGTTCAGACCAGAGGAGCTGCAGGTTGGTGTGGCCTAAGGGCCTTGACCTTTGTTTCTAGTCGGCTTTTGCTCTGGGTACAAATCCCCCTATGTGGTCATCTCCTTGGAGACTCTGCCGTATTTTCAGTTTCCTCTGCATCTTTCCTGGCCACAGGGCACAAAGTAAATGTTTCATACACTGCTCTGGAAGCAGCCACTTGGGCAGCTGGAGATAAGGAAGGGTTCTTCTCAGGCAGACCCTCGCTGCAACTTCCTGCCTCTCTTGTAGTTCGTCTTCACCTTTGGCTGAACTTGTAAGCAGGGCCTTCGTGGCATTACATGAAGAAGCAAGAGGGCCAGGATGATTGGGAGCTGGAGTTTTTTGGCTTTCCCTGCTGTGTGGAGGGGCACCCAGGAGAGCAAGTTTGAAGTTCTGAGATGAGATTCCAAATTAGTCGTCTCATTCTAGACTGCTAGAAAGAACCCAAGATGTGTTGATTTCAGCTCTATTAGGTTATTGCTCTCTGAACCTAGGAGATGCTGGGAGACGGGGGATGGGGAGAAAAATACTCGAGCAGTCACTTTCTTAGGGACATAAGTGGGAATAGAATCCATTGTGCCTCTGAGCTCCTTTCCCAGTGGTGGGAGTCGGTGAGGGAGTAGTGACAACAGGTGCCTTGGAAAGCAGGCTAGAATCATGGCACGCTGCAGCTGCTAAGGGACTGCTTCTCTCCCCGCATCAGCTTCAGGGAGTCATGGAGATTGGAGGGGGGAAAGACTTGGCTTGGTGACTGGAGTCTGCCAGACACAGGAGCCCATTAAAATACTTTCCAACATGTGCTGAGGACATTTTAGCAACCATTCCACAAAGAAGCTACTACTTGGTTTTAGTAACAATAGCTGGGAACTAGTGTTTCTATGCTTTGTGCATGCAGCGTACAAAGACCTTTTCCCCCTTTGGAGACAAGTTGAGCTTCTACAACTGGCCAGCTCTGCCCCACCCCAAGTACCTGTGGTTAAATGGGTTTTGGCAAAATGCCTGGTCTAGTTTCTCTCGTTATACCAGTTTGGATCATTAGTCATACACTGCTATTTAACAGATAACCCCCATTTCAGCTTAAAATAACATTAAACATTTATGTCACATTAGAGTCTGTGAGTCAGAAGTATGGACACAGCTTAGCTGGGTGGTCCTTGTTTGGGGGTTTCTCATGAAATTGAAGTTAAAATGTTGGCTAGAGTTGTACATGTCTGAAGTTTTGATCGGGGCTGGTGGATGGGCTTCCAAGATGGCTTCTTCACCATGGCTGGTCTTTGGCAGGGAGCCTCAGGTCCTCACCATGTGGACCTCACTGTAGGGCTGCTTGGGCATAAGCCTTATGATATGGCAGTTGTCTCCCACAGTAGCCCAGGAGAGCAAGGTAGAAGTATCTACATATTTTATAATCGAGCCTCAGAAATCACTGTCACTTGTGCCTTTTTCTATTAGTAACATGAACCTACCCTGATGCATTGTGGGAGGGGACCACACAGGATTATTAGGTGCTGGCTAATGTAGCCATGATGAAATTGTTAAATAGGGCATTAGGACAAGTAGCCACTTGAATGGTATAGATACCTCTTTCTTAATCTGAAACTGTGGTGTCCCTTAAGTACAGGCATGAGGTACAAGTTTTCTTTTCAGTCTACATAGTAGCATCCTAGAGGAACAGAGTAATTCCCTTTCATAACCAAGCTCACTACTAGGCAGAGTAGGCACTCTATAGATGAGGGACAAATACTTCATAGATTGCAGAGACAGATGATAGAGTTTAATGGAAAAACGGATTTGGGGGTGGGGGTGGGGGCTGTAGCTCAGTGGTAGAGCAGCGTCTTATCCCTAGCTCCAAAAAACACATTATACCCTCAAAACAAAGGTAAAGACTTAAAGCCAGCTTTGAAATCCTGATCAGCTTTGTGAGCTTGGCTATATTAATCTGAGAGAAAAGCCTATTCCACAGACCTGGTTTTATTGTAAAAGGATGGTAATTCAAGCATCCCTTCTATCCTTTGAAGGCTCATCAGCATCAGCAGCAGGTTACGGGGACATGTATGATCTTGGAACTCACAGGCAGGTATCATTAAATCTTTCTCTTAAGAAAAGATTTAAGAATGTCCTCTACTTACTCTATGGCACACTAAGAGCTGCCTTCTATGTCTTCTTTTTGAGACAGGGTCTCACTAGGTAACCAACACTGACCTTGAACTTGTGATCCTCCTGAGGGCTAGGATTATAGGTGTGAACTGCCACACCTGGCCCCACATCATCTCCTCTTATATAGTGACTCCTGGTCACTAGGACAGGTCTCAATGATCCTTTCAGCTCAGGGCCTTTGGGTTCTCTGGTTATTCGCTCTTGCCTCAACAGACTTCACTAGACTCATGACCAGCCTCTCAAATTGACAGTAAAGAAGAAACAAAGATGGATTCTGTAGCAAATTTGATTTTCAGGACTGGTACAGTCTCAGAGGAATAGGAGGGATAAGTGTGACCAATACTAGAGTCTGTACTCACTTCTGTAAGTCTGAATGAATATTCTCACTGATGGGTTCACATTGTGATACAAATTTCCCATTTCTGCAAAGTTGAGGATTTTAATGGGTGCCCTATACCATCCTGTTTTTCTTGCTGGTTAGTATCCAGACTCTACCTTCACCCTTTCTGCTGTTATTTAGACCAAACACAAACTAGGTAGCTCTCAAAAGCATTTAGACTGATGTCCTTTTCCTCTTAGCCCTTTAAAGTTCTGGCATCTTCTTTCTTGACATCTAAAAGATCAGTGCCATCTTTGTTACTCTACCTACTTTCTTAGCCTTAAATTCAGGGTAAAAACATCTAATCTCATCTCGGCTGCTGTTCTTGACCTGCTCTGGCTTTCCAGTCTCTGATGGGAAAGGGGAAGCATCCAGCTAGGTTGCTATCAGCCAGGTGAGAGCTGTGGGCTGAGGCAATTTACTCAGGCCCCAAGCCTCACAATACATTCTTCTGGGTACACCAGGACTTCGAGGCCCTGACCACTCTTCACGCAGGTAATTTCTCAGGATTATGTTTGCATCAAGCACTTCGAGAGATGAGGTCACGTCTCCCACATTTAAAACTGCAGGCTCAAGTTCAGTGTACCCTTCCTGTAATAAACCCCACTGCTTTTGCAGGGTGGGACTTTGCATCACACCCATGGGACTTGGGGGCAAGAGTGATCTGATAGGCTCATGCTACTTGCTGTGCTGTGACAATCCTTTGTCTCTAACTCAGAAGTCTCATGTCTTCTACCAGTATCCATAAACAGTAGCAGGCTTTGACACTGTGATATACTCAAATTATGAGAGTCTAACATCTAATTTTCTACTTGGTCGATGAGGCAACCTGCTAGGTCTAGGGGTGGCAAATTGTGGCTTTTGTAGTTTTACTGGAACAGAGCCTTGAATGCTCATTTACATTGTCTGGGACTACTTTTGTGATACAACAATAAAGTAGCTGTGCCAGACCATATGGCCAGCAAATCTGAAATATTAGCTATCTGTCCCTTTAAGAAAAAGTCTATTGATCCCTTGTAAGAAATCATTTTTCAATGGATCACACACCTGGATATGAGGCAAAGTACCTTTGAAGGTGAGCTTAGCTGGCCAAGACTTTTCTCCAAAACAGTAAATGAATCATAATTTATTAGGATTTTCTACATGGTATTTCATTCAGAGCTTAATGATCAGTAGGGACCGGGTATAGAAGAGCAATTCAGGTTGAGAATACAGACTCTGATGAGAAAAATGGCACATTTTCACTAGTAGGTGAGCGATTAAAACATTATAGAACAGCAGGCTGAGAGTGTCTCTCAGTGGTATAGTACTTACCTAGTATGTATGAGGTCCTGGGTTAGATCCCTAGCACCACAAAACAAAAACCCCATGTTGTAGCACCAAGAAAAAAAAAAAGCAGCATCTTGTTCAAATGATTACTTATGGACTAAAACAAAGGACACATTTCCACTAGAACAGAAGTAAGTTTTAATTCATTGAAAAGTGCAGCAGTGAACAGGGTCCTTTGAAGGGCACTTTCTAGTGAAATGATTTGAGATGACAGAGCCAGGGTGGAGTAAATTCTAGAAACAAATGATACCAACAAAGGAATTTACCAAATTCACTGAACTGGGGGTGAAACTAAAGAACCCAAATATACCCATTTAATCCCATTGGAGGATCAATTGAAATACTCTTTGGATCTTGGGCTAACTTATCTCATTAGAAGAATTCTTAAGACACTTAAAAATAAACTTAAGAACATTTCTCATGGATTAAGATGGAACTTCCATGGCTAGCCTTACTATTTTATACAAAAACTCTAGTATTGTCAATTAAAAGGTGTTTGCAACAGCACCGTTTGTCAAATTCAAAGATGCTCAAAATGTGTTCCCTACTTTGAATTATATGTAAGGGAGAGCTTTCTAATAGGAAATCTTATAAGGCAAATCTCTTCATTCCACATAGTTTTATGGTCCTCTGTTCTGAAGGTCACCAACAGACATGGACCTAACCATCTTAAAAGGGAAAATCCAAATCCAAATCAGTACAACTGGAAGATCAAGGAAAGCCTCTTGCAGTGGGTCCCTTGTCCATAAGCTGTCTGAAAACATCAGTGCATTTTGTAATCTGTTAGGCTGTAACTGAGGTCTCTTCATTCAAATGTTATGTAAGAAGGGTACCAAAATTAAGAGGTACCCAGAGGGCCACACCATATCCCACCATCCAAACACATGAGCTGAATGTAAGAGCAATGCAGCAGAGACACTGCTGACAGTTGAACTATGTCACTCTTATTTCTTCACCTGCTTTCAGGAACCAGCATTACCAAACTAAATGATATCACAGTCCAAGATCTGGTAAGAGTGGGTTTGTTTTTATTTGGGAATAACTGTGGTCAATTTTCATTAATGCTTTAAGTTGGACTGATAATGTTAAGAATCAAAGTAGAGAAAAAAACCAAGGCCCACATTCAACTTTGTAATCTGCTTTCATTCACAGCATAGGCATTCGTTTCACTTGCCTGTTCACCTTTTGATACCATGGTTTGCTGGGGGCATGTGATGTAAAGTAATAAATCCTATGGCTATTAACCCAACATGGCTATCTGGAATTTTGACAGAAGAGTGGCTTATGGCCTTGTTTACAAAGTGCCTAAAGCTCCACAGAGGCCATAAGTAAAGCTAAAATCACTTATTGCCTGAGTTGAACAGGTTATAAACCCAGCTCTTCTCCCCTGCTGTCCCACTACCAGTCAGCCTTTTTGTGAAGATGTTAGAAATGGAATTGGTCTTCAAGCTAAGAAATATAATATGGATGTTGTAAACAGTTAAGAAACCTAAACAGATCTGATTGACAGGGGAATAGACTGGAACCTGAATTAGTCAAGACTCCAAAACTAGAAGAACCCTACCTGAAAGAGAAGGTGAGATGAAACAGTTAATACAGTGCACCAATTATAATTGTTATATCTTAAAAACAAATGAAGAAAATAATAGCAAAATGCAGATACTCAAAACTTCATGCATGGTATTGACGCCCAGGCTCCCTATGGGACAGGCACTTCATTCATTCATTCTAAATACAGTCCTTCAACCTGTCAACCCAAGAGCCCTATCTACTAAAGGCCCTCAAAAAAACAACACAAACCTCAGCAGCCTTCTCTCCACTGCTGTACCTCAGCCACTTTTGATGGGGATGGATGTTTCATGAGCCGAGACACTTCCCCAGCAATGCTAGTGCTGATTGGTACTCCTTGTGGTTGACAGCCACTGGAAGCATATGGTTGTCACCTTGCTGCACAAGGTTACTGCTCTCAGTGTAGCACCAGCCCAGAATTCCAAAAAAGAAAAAAAAACAAAAACCCAAAACAAACCACCAAGCTTGGCTGACAGGTTCCAAATTTGCCACACTGATGGATTTTATAAACAATATACCCTTACTTATCTAAAGTCAATGATTCCTGTTCTTAACTAGATGGTTTAGCTCTGCTGGTTATTCTTCAAGCCACATGTTGTTATTTTTGATGGTGAAATGCTGTTTGAAATGCTATACATGTCCTTTGATTTTCAGGTCTAGCTATACGACAAATTTTTTGCTCTGAAGTATTGCCATTTATCTGAATGGGTTTACAAATTCAGACTTGGATCACATGGGAAATATTCACGAAAAGTGGCCCTAGGTCAGAAGGGACATGGTGAGAACAAAGACCTCAGGAGTGTTTGTTGTCCTGAGGAAAAAGATCAGGGTCAGCTGCTCCTGACCCACGGGCAGATTCACAGTTTAACACATTGCACAAGAAGTCAGCTGACTGGGTTGCTTTTCCAACAGGACTTAACACAGCCCGTCCAGAGCTCTTCCAGGCAGGGTCTCAGAGAGGAGCTATAGATACCAACTACAATCACTTCATCAGAAAGAGGCGTGCAGGGGTCTCACTGCAGAGGCTGGCCACGGCGACTACAGAGGATGCTTAGAGAACCTTCGCGTCCTAACACTGCCATGACTGCTGAACATGAGACGCGGGTCAAACCTGTATCTGGGGTTGAGAAAAGGAGGATGTCATGTGGACTGTAGTTACTGAGTGCTTCAGCAGAATACTATGCAGAAGAAAGTTAGGAAGGGATATAAAACAAAAAAAATCACCAGAAGGGCACCTAGTAGGGGAGTCAACAGGTAGAACATGAGGACCTAGCAGTTAAGAACATTTGCATCATGAGCAATAGGATACCAGTAAAATAGTAAGGCATTCAAATAAAATGTATGGTACAAAAAACCCACTAATTTGATCAAAGGGAAAGGTAGAATAAATGCTGAATAACAACCTGAGTTGGAACTTAACAGAAATAAAGGTCATAGATTGGCCAGAAAGAGTTTGGGTGTGCATTTATAAAATAACATTGTATTTTACATTTACCTCCTACCTTGTGGGGCTGAAGTATTTATTTTAGAGCAGTGACTGGCCAAAATTTCTGTAAAGTTAGTAAATATTTTGGGGATTCTGGGCCATACAGTCTCTGTCCCAACCATTCATTTTAACTGTTCAAGTGTAAAAACGGCCAAGACAATATTCAATGAATAGTCCAACAGGTTGGTCCCACAGGGCACAGTTTGCTGACCCCACTGCATAGGATTCTATAGGACCAAACATTTGGTAGGAAAGAATCATGGATAACAAATTTAAAACAGGAAATCAAGGTAAAGTTTAAGTAGCTCAGACTAACAAGTGTGATAGAACCTTAGTTATTAAGAGTTTCTACAATGTGAGCAAGACAGTTACAGTTAAATGAATAAAACTTGCTTGGGAAATAGGAGACTATGCTATACCTGCTCCTTATAGAGTGATGCTTGGGCAAATCACAACTCTAGTCAGTTTCCTCATTTGAATTTACCTGTTTGGGCTTCAAGGGCTGTGTGAAAATTTTAAACTCAGTAGAAGCAAGACAACTCCTGCACCTGCTTTTCTTTGACCAACCAGATGTGGCAGGGCAGGTCTATACTCTAGCAGCAGAGTAGCCAGTGGCTGTTTGGTCTCATGCCACACTCCAAGAGACCCAACTACTCTCACTCTCTGTTGACGGGTTAGATACATGTATACACATATTCATATTGCCATCTAGGTTTTTGTTTCGTGGTGCTAGGGACTGAACTCAGGGCCTTGTTCATGCTAGGCAAGCTAGCAACTACTGAGCTATATCCTCAGCCCTCATCTAGTTTTAGTGTCCTGGAATCCATGTCTCTGGCTTGTCAATATGCTATTTAAAAGTAAACACTACATTTCTGTAATAAATAGCCTATAATCCAATTTCTTCACTCATTCTCATATATTCAACACTTAGAGTGAAGATTAAATTTAACATGAAGGTGGCAAAGTATTTTACCACTGTCCATCACTCCTCCAAATCACGGTAGGAACTGAAATAATCCTTCCTAAGGAGCAGTTTGATTTTTACCTTCGTAATCTTCAAGCACAAAACTGACATGCTTTTTGCCATAGAAGCTAGAATGCCTTAGTGTTATGACACCCAGTGTCTCAGTGATAAGGCTCTAAGTAAGAGGTCTAGAGTGGGAGGAACAAACTGACTTGGCAAGTTATAAATCTTTTACATTTCTGTATGCTGCAATGGGTTTTTCAGCAACTGACTTTACACCTATTTTCATGTGTGTTTAGTACATTAAATTTACTGGTAAACACTTGAGTTTCTATAATTGGGATTTCTGGGAAATGAAGCAATATATTCTTGGAAGCTCTAGGAACAGGACAGCACTCAGAGTTTACATAAAGAAGCCCCAGGTGCCACCAGTGTAATCAAGTGGCCCCGTGACAAGAACCACAGCAGGAGAAGAGGAGGAGCCCCGGTGTGGGTGTGGGGAGGGAGCAGGGATGTGGCTACAGCTAAAGCACCCACTTTCAAGAGAGCCAAAGTTTCAAACAGCTTATTTTTCTAGCACAACAGGCTGACACAGCATTCCCTCTCCAATGCACAGCTCAGCTGAAAGCAGAAAGGACCATTGGGCTCCCTTTGTCTTCCAGAACACTGTGACCACTGGAGACAATATGACAAAGTAACTGAGGCAGAGGAAACTTACCCAGGGTCAAAAACCCCTGGCGTGCGGCAGGCCGGGCCAGAACATGACTGTAGCATCATTAAGCGGTAGTTCATCTTCCCTAAAACCTCTGGGTCCACACTCTTAGCAATGTTCGTGATTTGGTCTGGGTCTGCAGTCAGATTATAGACTTCTACAAACACCTAGAGGCAATGATAGGAGGGAGGAAAGAAAAAAAAAAAAGCACAGGCTGTTTTGAAGAAATGCTCCTAATATAGGATTATTTCTAAGTGGGAAGGGAGGAGATAGGTTAAAAAAAACCAAGGCCCAGCAAAACGTCTGATCTAAACTTCTTCAGAGACCAACTGTGCACTTGGGACAAAGGTGCATCTGTGCTGGGCATTCAATTGCTTTGGGTCCATAGCTCTGAGCTGGAAGGGGCCATCTGTTCACCCTAGGCCACCAGGAAAGGGCAGTGGTAGGAAACTTACTTTCCTCTGTAACTAGAGCAAAGAACAGAAGGCAGGGCTTTCCAGGGTGAGGTCTCAAAAACAAGATTTGGTAACAAAGCTACAGAAGTGAGAGTTAACATTTGAAAGGCTTACTTTTACCTTACAATTGTGAGATTTCAGTAAGAATGGATATGAAAAGTACCCTGTGTTACACACATACTGTTTTTCTGTTTTAAAAAATAGTTTGGGAGTTTAATATCCCAAAGGGTATGGGAAAGGATGCAATATTATCATTTCTAGCATTAGACATGTCTAGAACCAGTGTTCTCCCCCTCAAATTAGTATTGGAGTCAAATGACAGGCTAGGGAGGTGGTGGTAAATGTTGCCTATGAAGGCTTTAAATAGACTATCATGGATAGTCATGAAGCTGATAAACATTACAGGGAGAGGAAGGAACAGGAACAGAGTTTGAGGGCAGCTCTCTTGCTTGTCCAGTGTGCTTCTGAGCTGCATAAGGAATGGAGCTCCATTTCTGAGGAACATAGATGAGTACCTGCTCTGCAACATGAGGGCTGCTCAATGGGTAGTGAGCATATGCTGATAAACAGTGAGTGTTTATCAGTTGATGCCCATGTGATCCTTCAGATAATCCACACTAATCAGTGTTGGCCAAAATCCCACCTTCCAAACCTGGAGCTCCTGGGCCTTTGCTTCCCTTCCCCCAATCTACTGAGCAGCAGCAGGCTGCAGCCGTGGGAGAAGTTTCTGAATACGTCACTAGCTGGTCAGCTTTCTAGGGAATACTCCCATTCTTCTCACCTCTGGAGAGGCTCAAGTGCTTCACTTTTGCCCCAACTACAAGAGAAGCTCACAAACACAGTATGTATCATTCTGAAAAAGTGAACAGTACATTTAAAGTGTGTGTCCAGATGGTGGTGCAAGTGGAGAAAACCCCACACAGAAAGATCAATTAGAGAAGTGAGGTATGGCCTTATGAAACTATTTCCTTAACTGAAGGAAACCTAAATAGAAGTGCAGATGAAAGATGCGTCTTCCATCAGGAGCACCCTTGGAACTGCTCTAATGCCATCAAATATAACCAATGTAACACTGGCAATAGGCAAATGAGTAGGAGAGGAACAAGCAGAAGTCCTTCTTACCTCCTGGTCATCAAACTCGCAGTACTGTAAGTTCCACAGCGCTGACATCGTCCGCACACAAGCATAGGTATTGTTATAAGCATCTTCACAAACACAATCTGGGAAACATTGCTGTAGGGATATTTTAAAAGTTAAGTGAAGATTGTTCGTCCATGGTAAAAAAACTTAGTTGCCTATAGGGGCAACCAAGTTCGCTGCGGTCAGACATGGAATTTGACAGGAAATAGGAGTGTTTCCACAGCTAACCAACTTAGCTACCAGCTAATATGTGATTGTGCTATCTCTAAATTGTTGCCATCCCTTGTTTGCTAATGTTCTGAAGAGAAAGTTGTAATGACGCCATGTAAAATGTGTGGGCTGGCAAAAAGAAAGACATTCTCAAATGAGTCATTTTGAAGGACTAAAGGTAAGGGAATGGAGTGGAAATGAGCTTTGTGGAATCATGTCTAGGTAAGTTATTTTGGGTGTTCTCGTCACCAAGTGTGACTTAACTCTACCTTTTTCATGTCTTCCACAGGCTCTGCTGCTCCATGATCAGTTGGTCCATTACTATTTCCTAACACTTTGGTGTTAGGAGAGCCAATTCCAAATGGAGGCCTAGTTCCCATTCTCCAAAGTGAGGCCAATGTGGCTGTTACCACCTTCTTGACCTGCCTGGCTGCCAATGCAAGGCACTCATGATGGCACAGTTACGGGTCAGAACCCAAACCCTGCTTGTCAGAAACTACTGATGACATCCTAGTAAAAAATGGTACCACTACTGGGAGGAGTGGGAGAAGGAAAGGGAACTGATAAAGTAAGAATATGTGCAGATACATGCATTTGTTACTTAACTTGGAAGAATTCAAAGGGCACATCCTGATGATGGGGAGGTTATAGGAATAGCACTTCAAGGATTTCAGTACTTCACACATCTAAACAGTACCTGGCTATGTTGTCAGCGAGAAAGCTGTCTGAGCTAATACAAGCTGCTACTCACGGACACCCCAGGACTCAGGGAAGGACAGGTCGGGTCGGTGATATTCCGGCCTTCTCCTTGATATTCCACCAGCATATCTGATCGCCAGGTCAAATTACTGGCACCTATCTAGAAAAAAGGAGCAAAGGTGGTTTCTGTGAGGCATACAGGTTTCTGTGATATATAAAGATTATAAAGTTTTGACTCTAAAGGGGACTTGGGAGTCAAAACTAATTGGACTGTTCATTCAGTAACTACAGGGAATGAGTAAAATGATGCACATGAAAGCTATTGAATGTCATGTTTGGTATTTATAGACCTTTAAAGTGATGGTCGAATGCTTTGAACATTTAATAGTTTCTTCCCAAGACTACTTCTGTGAAGCAGGCCAGGAATGGAAACCAACAAAGTAGCTAAGCAAGAATCAAAGTCACAGTGCAAGTTGTTCAAAGTCCTCATTAAATACTATACTCAGAGGTTTTTTTTTTTTTTTT